GTATATTTATAGACATTGAAATATATTTTTGATTTCATACTAAGCAAAAGAGGTTACCAAACATCATGCCCACTATTCTTTCTTTCTTTCTTTTTTTTTTTTTGTAACATAAAAATCCATATAGATTGAAGGATGAAAGTGGCTGGGGAATTGCAGTGATTCAAACATTTTGTTTTGCTTTTCTGTATTTTTAATTTGCCTTCAATTGATCATGTATTGTGCAATAAAGAAAAAAATCAGAATTTTTCTTTTTAAAGATTTTTTTGTTTTCACAAAGGCACAAGAATAAAGAGGTAGTGAGAATTTACAGATAGTACTGAGAAAGGAGCAGCCTTTTCCTAAGGCTTTGTGATTTCAAACGCAAATGCTCAAGCCCAAGCTTCCTGGGTTGCTTTTTCCTTTTCCTTGAGGACAGAGGGGGCCATAGTTGTTCTAAGGATCTCCACTTGAAAGGGGCAATAGGCTGAGGAGCTAGGACTCGCGTAACCGGGTAGCACTGAACTGATGGGCGTGGGAGGCCCTCCGCAGGAACTACCCTCTGTCCCTACAAAGGACTGCCTCCAGCTGAGGAAAGTCACTTCAGCGCAGTACTGTTTCACACAGCATATGTATGCCAAAGGGACAGAACTTTCAGGCAAAAGACTTTTATTTAGACAGGTTAGGGCTTGAGGATATGGAGACGCCAGCTGACATACGAAGGCTCAGTAGCTGCAACATGCTTGCTTTAGGCCTTGTAAATAGCTTCATCCTTCACCTGCAGGTTCTGACAGCCCTCTCCGGGCAGTGCTTCAGTGAAACATCAGATGACTTTGTTAGAGTCTGTCAGCCCTACAATATTAAGAGACTTTCTGTAAAGCTGCGTGGAGCAATTCCTAGTAACCACATGCAACAGATCTTCCTTTTCCCCACATCTGAACAGACTCGATGTTCAGTCCGTCTCGGTAGAAGATTCTCTTTCATTGCCTGCATCCAAGTATCGGGCTTGACAGTCCCACCGGCAGCCTGTGATAAGAGACGGTGACCTTGTCTTTTGGATTCCCAGGAATCCAGGCGATGCTGCTGCATGTTTTTTAATGACGAATGGTGCTAATGCTTCCAGTACAGGGTCTGAGGTGTCTGAACTGCCACACACCTCAGGCCCTGAACCTGAGCCAAGTGACTGACGTTTAGTATACAGAAAGTAATAAAACCAAGGTTCAACAAAGCTGTGGTCATTTCCAGCTTTCCTAGATATATGAGACGCATACCTACCCCAATACTAACTGGGGTAGGAGGTAGGAAGAAAGAGGAATAACACAAAATGATGACTTTGTGGAAGGTGTTAAAAACATACTGGCAGGAAGGAAATTAAATTGAGTGAACTGCCCTACCACTGAATTCCTTAATGTCTGGCCTATACCGAAGTAAGCAAATTTCCGCAGTTAACACAGCTACACTTTTTCATGTAACATTTGTGCTGTGAACCAAAAATCTAGAAGGGAAATTGCCTACTGACTAATTAGTAATTAATTAGGACTAATAAAGGAGTCCTATTACAGAGAACGATTAGCTTGCTTGGCTCATGGCTTCCCGCCAATCATCAGGTTTGTAATTTTGCACCATATGATTTTTTTTTGCATGTAAACTTAGAAAATGAGATGGCTTAGATCATTCACAGAGGGCCCTGGGTCTTGAATTCAATTGCATGATACCTGGTAATGTTTAGGAAGGTCAAGAGCTTTAGAACCAGAAAAATCCACGCTCTAATCCTAGCTCTCTTTACAGGGTGTACGTTAAGTAAGTCACATAGCCTGTCTGGGCCTATTTGCTCATCAGTAAAATGGGGATGCCACCACCATCTGGTTTGAGGCTTGTGTTGGGGCTCAAATAAGATGGCAGATAAGAAGCATCTTGCCCAGTACTAAGGGTACACATATAGTAGGCAGACAATAAATGTTAGGTTGCTTCCTTCCTTCCTGATGGTCTTAATGCTTTTTAATTATGAGGGAGGAGACAGGATGGGAGGAAAAGAAAGATGAGAGAACACAATGGTACTTGATGGAGCAAAGTTTTGGGAGAACTGAAGTAGGTGGAGTCATGGAGAAAGGACACTTCTTTCTGAGACTGTAGGGAA